CTTTAACGACCAAACCCACAGACTACGCTGATCAGGATGCAACTGTAACCAAAGTGAGAATAAATGAACCCAAAGGAGAAGGGATGGAATCCAAACAGTCGTGTGCACCCCCTCGCCATGAGGCTCTGTTCCCAGCCGCTTTTACTTCCTGAGTTTGTACTTAGCAACTTTCTTCCTAAAGGCGGAATTTGGAAAGGGTATTACAGCGGAGAGACCCGGGAGGGACTGCCTTAGCCAAATGAGTGAGGCTTGTATCACGACGATTAGTTGAGGTGGTTCTTAAAAAAGGAAAGACTGACAATTTGCTGTAGATCAGGGAAGCCTAAGAAGACATGACTAAATCTACAAATGTGTCCTTGACTGGACCCTAAAGCAGCCTGGTCCTACTCTGAGAAAGAAGGACAAATCTTAAGCAAAGACCATGTCACAAAATGCTGGCTTGTGATCTTCAGGACAGTCAAGTCATCAAAAGCAAACTGAGTCTGAGGAGAGCCGAGGGTGGCGGAGCATGGAGAGGCAGTGCAGGGCTTAACTGAGGAGAGCAGAGGACGGTGGAGAACAGAGAGGTAATGCAGAGGTTAACTGAGGACAGCCGAAGGTGGTGGAGCACGGAGAGGCAGTACAGGGGTTAACTGAGGAGAGCAGAGGATGGTGGAGCATGGAGAGGCAGTACAGGGGCTAACTGAGGAGAGCAGAGGATGGTGGAGCACAGAGAGGTAATGAGGGGTTAACAGCAATTGTTGCTCTACTTAGCAGACCTGAGTTCAGATCTCCACACCCATATCTGGGGGCTCACAACTGCCTGTAACACCAGCTCCGAGGGATCTGACCTCTGATCTTCCCGGGTACTAAAACACCACAAACACATAAATAAGGTAAATCTTTAATAATAATACCAATGCAAAGGGAGGCTAGGAGAAAAAAAGGGTGGTCACCAGTGCAGCACGGCTTTCTGATGGGAATACGGGACAGAAAGGACGCAAAGGTGGAAGAACTTTGTCTAATGATGACTAACGATATACATAATGTGTAACACAAGGTTTCATTGATTGTAGCAAACGGTAGCCTACTAAGATGTTGTGATAGGACATACTGGGGATGGGGTAAATAAGTCCCTGCACTATCGTTGTGATAAATCTACGTATCCCAAACGGCTCCGCAGTAAGAAGTGAACACGGGTTTGACACAGACAAGTGGAGACACATTAATGTTACGACCCGAGCTCTGACTACACACCACGTCAATGGCGTCACGGGTACAGAAGAGGCCAACATCAACGAAAAGAGGGAAACAATGAATTACCATTGCGAGAGTCTTATAAATCTGAAAGTTTGGTTTTCATGGACAGAAGCACTAAACCCGGCACTTTGTAGAAGCTGTGAGGGGCATGAGACAAACCCAGACACGGAGTGCTTGTCAGAGCGGTGCTTTAGTGTGACCTGTGACCATGTACCTGAATGACAGACCCCATCAAAGCCGACAAAGGAAACCAAAACTAATGATAATAAATTCCTACAGAAGTAGACCAGTATCTCACGAGCAAAGACCAAAGGAAGAGCTAACAAGAACATGGAGACCGCTCAGCAGGAGGGACCGCTTGCTGGGAAGCCTGAGGTCCTGAGTTCACAGCCCCAGCACCTGTGCACAGAGCAGGACATGGCGTGTGAGCCTGTAAGCGCAGTGCTGGCGGGCTATATGTAGAAACAAAGGGGTCATTGGGGCTTGCTGGCCACCAGCCTAGTCAAAAACTGGGGAGAGCCTCTCTGAAGGGAGAAGGGCTCCTAACATCCTCCTCTAGCCACCAAACACACGAACATGGGTGCATGCAACTGCACACACATACATTCATCACCCCAACACAAAAGAGATAGCAAGAAAAACAAAATACAGACCAATGGTCCCCATGAAAATAAAAGCAAAACACTTTCTAAATTTTTAAACAAATTGAACTCAGTAAAAGGCTAAAAATAATTTATTATGGCCATGAGGAAATTCTCCCAGGAATACAAAGTGAGGCTGACATTCTAAACTTGATCAATGTACTGTAGCATAGAGCCACAACAAAACAAAACAACTCAGAAGACATACAGTCACTGCAACAAAAGCAGCTAGCAAACCCCGGATCAAGTCTACCATGACGGCAGAAGACATTTCCTAGGAAATGCTGGGCATGGATGTAGGGCGAGAAAATGCCAAATCTATGCAAGGCATCAACTATAAACTTTGTATCTCTTAACAGGCAATTGCTTAAGGCTAATTAGGAAGAGGTTTGAAAAGGGTGACTGGTTGATTTCAGCATCAAATACGCCTTTCACTGTGCCTCCGCTTGGGCTAGAGTGAAGAGTGATTCTTATGTACTGAAAATAGTTGGGATGGAGCAAAAGGACGTGGACCAATTGACAAAGGGAGGAAACTGTACTTCTCTTACGCTACAAGTAAACTTACAGTTTATAACGAGGCACCGTGTTGGATCCACACTCTCTCTGTTTTAACTTTTATTGATGTATATATCTGTGTGTCTCTGTGTGTATGTATGCCACATGTACAAGTATGTACAAGTGCACATGGAGGCCGGAAGAGGGTATCAGTCCCCTAGAGCTTGAGTTATAAGTTGTGAGTCTTCCCATGTGGCAACTGGGAGCTGAACCGTGGAAGAGAATCAAGCACTCTAATGGATTCATTCTTAAATTCAATAAACACTTAATACTTACTTCACATTTACTATGAACAAACATTTGCCTAGATTCTGGGAATCAAATGGGAGGGGAGGTTGGAAAGGAAGGAAGGAGGGAGGGAGGGAGGGAAGGAAAGAGGGAGGGAGGGAAGGAGGGAGGGAGGGAAGGAGGGAGGGAGGGGAAGAAACTGAAGGAAGTGGGAGAAGTGGGGGGATCCTAAGTCTCACAGAGTTTAGAGAGACAAAAACATATTAGAGAGATATCATGCTAGATGGTAATAAATACTGCAGAGAAAAACCACGCAGGGGAGGGAACTGTACTGGGGTGTGATTTTCAGTGGGGTTACTAGGGGACTAGGTGGCTTCTAGGTTCACTTCCAGTTCAAAACTCCCTTGACTTCCTTCTGTGTGAACTCAGCAGCGTAAAAACACGGAGTGACCCTGTGAACCTGACCTCGGTAAACTCGCACATTCTATCACCTTGCTCCGTGTGTCACCACTTATATTTTAGAAAAACAGGATTAAGCATACATGTTTCCACACTGAGACAAAGCACATGCCACCACTTAATGTCTTGCCTGGGAGAGGAAAGTAAGAAAAATAAGACCCAGCAAGTTCTCCCCAGGCAAGGGTCTTAAAAATGCAGCGTTTCTGCGCACTGCAGAAAGGATTAAAACCTGATACGTTCTCCTCCCCCTACAATATACTCGTGGCCTGGAATTTAGTCTTTTATTGATCCTAAGTTATAACACAAGAGACAGTTGTTTCTCTAGCATGGAGGATTTCCCAGACAAAGAAGAAACAAGCAGCTAGTACAGTTATTTGGGGACCGCCAGACACCTGCTGTGTGTCAGGCACAGCACAAATGCATGTATGATTTCCAACAGTATGGACAGCCAATATCAGCAAATTCCCACAGACTGAAGAAACACCATCAGCTCAATTCCCAGGAGAGAGAACTGCAGAGGTGCCTGCACATACGCCGTCCCGTCCCTCACCCCCGCCCCGTAACTCCAGGACACGTGACTGTGTGGTCCTAGGAGAGAGACCTGCAGAGGTGCTGCACACACGCCTCCCGTAACTCCAGGACACGTGACTGTGTAACAGGTGCCTTTAGATGAGTGTGCGACTGAGAGTGGGAAGAGGCTGTGTGTGTGAGATAACAGAACCTGCGGGAAAACGATTACTGTGAATTCATGGACAGTGGTGGGTTTGAAGTGTCTTTGGAACCCTAGCACATAGAAACTGCACAGAGTCGCTCACGCTTGGCTCACAGAGACAGAAGGCATCCCAAGGCAGCCACTCTTCCCCTCCTGAGGCAGATTAGAAAACAGCATCAGACTTTATGAACATCTGCAATCCGCCCATCTGGACTGAGGTTATGAATTCTTTGGAATGCATCACCAAACCCACATTTCTCTAAAGGTAAACATTGCTCACAAATGGGTCTTGCTGGGTGGTGGTAGTGGTGCATGCCTTTAATCTCAGCATTGAGAAGCAGAGGCAGGTGGATCTCTGTGAGTTCGAGGCCAGCCTGCTCTACAAGAGCTAGTTCCAGGACAGGCTCCAAAGCTACAGAGAAACCCTGTCTCAAAAAACCAAAACCAACCAACCAACCAAACAAACAAATAAAAAAGCACAAATGGGTCTCTTATATTTGATCCCATTAATTAAAAAATTCATATTCTAAAAGTAGATTAATCCTAGGTAAATATAATCAAAGTACAAATTAAATTTTAAGAAACTGTCTTCACTTTAAACCCAGCATTATGCATATATATCACTGAAATGGGTTTTTGTGTTTGTGTATTTAGTACTTGTGTGTGCGTGTGTCATGGGAGTCTGAGGACACTGTGTAGGAATGGACTCGTTTCTTCTGACACATGAATCCCAAGGACCACACTCGAGTCACTAGGCTTGGGGGCAGGTTTCTTAGAGGCTGAGCCATAGGCATACACCAAACGCTTACTTTCAGTAAATTGGTCCCTAATGGTCCCCCCACCGCGTCCTGAAGGCTATTTTTCACTCACTATACAGTTCATGTTTAGAGTTCACATTTATAAGACGTTAATAAAATAGTCTGCTAGTCATCTTCCAAGTAATTATATATAATCTCAAGTTTCATCTAACAGAATATGGCAGGTTTACCTTACGCTATTAGCAGATGGGAGCTTTTATTTCTAACATTTCAAATACACCAGCAGTCACCTCAGCACAACACTATTAGCATCGTTATTAGCACTGTCTAGAGATTTTTCCCAAGAATAATACAATAATCACTTGAAGAAAACAAGATGTTTGAACAGGTACTTGTATAAAAACCTACCAGCTCATTGCTTGTCGATGTGAGTCTTAGTTTTTCTTCAATTTCCTTTCCAATTCTCTGAACAGTTACCTGAGTCTGTTTAATTGCACACTGGGCTCTATGAAGCCTAGAAATACAAGTGGTAGAAAAATGTAAGTGAGGTAATTACGAAGTCTAAACACAGAGAGTCACAGACATGAATTATAAATCTCCTAGGATAAATAGAACCAATCCTGAACAAACCAATTATTTTTAGATTCAAACATATAATGAAGCAACAGGATTATAAGTCCTAAAATAACAGCGCTCTGAATGTCTGCCTCTGCTACAACACAGTCAGGGCAAAGGACTCCAGGGGTTTAGATCACTTTAGAAAATGATAGGGTTGAGGGGCTGAGTTCAGCTTAGTCAGAAAGGAGCCTGTTGCTCAAGCACGAACACCCAAGTTCAATTCCCAGCACCCCTGAAAAGCTGGACACGGCAGCACAAGCCTGTGATCTCACTGCTGGAAGGTAGAAACATGGGGATTCATGGGGCTTACTTTATACAAATTTATATAATTTATATAAAGGGTACAAGATCTAGAAATAACAAAACAATCTTAAATCTGTCAGATATCAAGATTCCCTATAACTGCAAGATCAAGGAAATATGCTCATAACAAAAAGATGAAAAATAGATCAATAACCAGGTACTCTTATACATACAGACGTTTGGTTGGCAGAGGCAAGATGACTTGAGCCCAGGATTTTGAGACCAGTGGTGACAGAGCAGTGAAACTCCATCTCAGAAACAAACAGGGGGCTGGAGAGATGGCTCAGTGGTGAAGGACACTTGTTTTACATAGGGTCAGGTTTGGTTGCCAGAATCCACAAGGTAGCTACAGCCATCTATAATTCCAGTCCCAAGGGATCCACTGTCCTTTTCTGGTCTCCATGGGCACCAGGAACACATGTAATGCACATACATATGTACACATACATACACACACACACACACACACACACACACACACATCAAGGCAGAACCACCGTTTAGCTAGTTTACCAGAGTCGGGAATGTCTGTTCACCTAGAGATGAAAATGAAAATGTATTCTCCAAACTGGGAGAAAACAGCAGAAAAGAAAAAAAGAAAAAAAAACAATTCAACATAGATCAAAGGCTTTAAGTCCTAAAATTCTGAAATAACTAGAGAAAACAAACAAAAACTACTTCAGGATATAGGCATAGGCAACTTCAAGATGCAGGCTGAGGCAAAGACACTCTGCAAGGACTCCAGCAACTCAATGGGGTCGGCCGACGGGAAGACAGAGCAAAGTTAAAAAGCCGCGACAAAGCCAGCATTCACAGGATGAAGGCAGCCTACAGAGCCGGGAAAATCAGCAGTCTACCGCTGAACTAAATCCCCATGCTGTCGAGATTTTTCTTTAATATGCTGTAGGTATGAATCCCATCAGCATGAAGATTTTCCCAGCTCTATTTGCTTCCTTCATCCTGCGGATGCTCACTTTGGTCCTCAATTCCAAAATAAAATAAAATAAAACAAAACAAAGCAAAACAAAATAACCTCAAATTAAACACACACTCTAGACCCCACAGGTTATTTGTTCAGTGAATGGGCAAATGAACTGAACAGACAGCCTCAAAAGAAAAAATAATCAATCATGAATAAATACACACACAAAAAGTGTTTAACAACCTTTGCCCCAGGGAAATGAGAAGTAAAACTGCTCATTCCTGCCAGCTCCAATGCAATGTGTGTATGTGTGCTCAGGAACACTGACGGTAACGTGGTCTTACATGATGTGTGTATGTGTGCTCAGGAACACTGATGGTAACGCAGTCTTACACGATATGA